AAGTTTTTTTTACTGACAGTTCAGTTAGTTTTTTTTTTTTTTTTTTTTTTTGGTTTATCTAAGCCAAAAACTTCTAAATTTTTAATATAAATTTTAAGTTAGCTAAGTTTCTGTCACTTTTTCTTGAATTTATTCACCTATTTTGTTCTTTATTGCATCTTCTCACTATTTCAAGTTCACATGGGACATGATATCTCATAAAACTTCAGCTGTTATTTATACACTTATCTTTGTTATTCTTGTTGCTGTTATCTGATTCATTCCGGCAGAGTCATAATGTTACTGTAATTTAGCTTAATAATTATGTAGCAACAAATTATTTAGCATTGTTAGTACTTGTTAATTTACTAATCAGTATTTGAAAGGGTAAAAGAATAAAACAAAGAAATTTAAAAGCCATTTAGATAAAAAATAGCAACGATAAGAGAAAAATCGTTTTGGCTTGCAAATCTTTGCGGAGAAAAAACTGGCGGAAAAAAGCTTACTCGATATCCTGTATCTGTAACATGATATTTCTCTGAGGGTTGCTGATTTCAGAGATGTCATCGTTAAAGGAGGTCACCAATGCACAAACGGTAAATCGGTGATTAGGAGGTCAGAGAACCAAAATCAAACTGATTGATATTAATACCAAGCTCAAAGTTATAGTTCAATTTAAATTGCTTTTGATGCACTCTCAGAATTTTGTTCATCTTACCTTAATTTGAAAAATTTTAAAGAAAACGCCGAAAGATTTTGGAAACAGACCAAAAAAAAAGATGTCGTACACCACTAAAAAGTACAGTAAAATTGTCATCTTTGGTAATTTTGTTGCTTCTCTGTGTATACGTAAATCGAAACTTAGTAACTTCTACAAAAAAAGAAAATTTGGAGCTTTAGAATTTTAGACGGTGGTTTAAGCAACATATAGTAACGTATAAAAATTCAGCAAATTTTTTCGTTAATACCGTTCAGCTTAACAAGAACCTACTAAAACAAATAAATTTTTTCTTTCCTTTCGTTGCGTATATTTCTTCTGGTTTTTTTCATAAAACAGTATTATTAAAATTACAAATAAACAGAATAGAATAAATTTTTTCAAGATTATAAACAATTAAAATTTTTACTAAATGATCTGTAATTTCTATCAGCTTCAAATTGAAATGTACAGCTAATGTAAATATTGAAAAAAAAAGACAGATGTCGATGATATTAACAAAACTGCTCGTTGTTTTAATTGATTTTGAGCTATATAAATAATTTTTTGCTATGAATTAAATAGAGAAAAAAGCTTTTCTTTTGTAGAAGCAATATACGTAATTTAAAAGATTACTCAGTTACAAAAAGTAGCAATGTTTCTTGCTTTTTCTTTTACTATACTTTTACTCAATCTTTCAACACTTAATGGTATTTTTTTTTGGCATTTTTGCTGCTTTAATTATTGCCTGAGCTCAATGTATTGTTCATTTGCTCGACATTCAATTTTTTACCTCTTTATTAACAATTTTGGTATTTACTAATTTCCACTTGTAATCTTTCAGCCTTGTTGTGATTCTACAGAAGTTTTTCAAAGAAACTTACCGCTTACTGTTCAGTTTCGTGACTCATTCTCTAAAACAACATTTTGATTTCTTGATTTACTATTAGTGCTGCAGTTATTGCTATTGACGCTGGTTGAATGACAAAATTCTGATATTGTCTAAAGAACAGTGGTCAGTGGTATGACAGAAAGAAGAGTAACTCGTTTGACATCTGCACTGACAGACTAACAAGCAGGGGGAGTAAAACGACAGCTATATAACCATCTAATTCAGTAACTCACCTAAGTAACCAGTATAAACTTTTTTTTCCTTTTTCGAATTTACAATTTCAGAAGAAAATAAAACTAGGAAAAAAAACACTAAGTGCTCGAATAGAAACGCAGAATAAGCAATCAACTCATAGGGAATAGTAATTAGTAACAGAAAACATTGTTGGTTCTGTTTATGTCATCAGATTACCTATCTTTTTTTTGATATTTTTTAATCTATTGTTCTTTTTCTTGTTTTTTATAAGTCGTTACAGAAAAGATGTAATTAAAAAATTTAAAAAAATTCGTTTTTTTTTTTTTTTTTTTTTTTTTTTTT